TGGATCAGTTCGTCATTGTCCTTGTAAATGACTTACTTATCTACTCTCGAAGTAAGAAGGAAATCATAAAGAGCATCTACAACAAACCATGGAAACAATACGATCAGAAGAAGCTTTACGCGAAGTTCTCTAAATACGAGTTTTGGAATTAAAGAGTCAAATTCCTAAGACACACCATTAGTGATGTGGGAATTCTTGAGGACCCTTTCAATTAATCAAAACCGTTGAGAAATTGTCAGCACCGAAGACGCTGACGAGAATTCGCCAAATTCTAGGTCTCGCTGACCGACTGTCGTAGTTCATTTAGAACTCCTCGCAAATTACGGAACCTCTTACGACTTTGACCCAGAAGGAGCGACCCTTGACTGGGAAGAGAATCAAGAGGAAGAAACCTTTGGAACTCCAGGTGAGAGACCAAATTCTTTTGGAAGTCTCACTCTGGGAAGGCTTGATACGCTTCGGAAAGCGTGGAAGGCTAAAATCCAAGATAGTTAGGACCTCCGAGATTCTTGCCAGAATCGGCCCTGTAACTCACAAATTCAACCTACTCGCGAACTCAGTAACGTACATTTTACCCTCCACGTCTCGAACTTGAAAAAGTACCTTTCCGTCAGGACTCTTGTAATCCCACTCGACGAGATCGAGATCAACGAGAGCCTCACCTTTGTGGAAGAACCGTAGTGACCATGGACCGAGAAGTCAGACGAACGATTCAGAGCCGCTTCCCATTAGTGAAGGTTCACTGGAATGCCAACGGAGGACCTGAATTCACTTGGGAGCGCGAGAATAAATCGATTAGGAAGTATCCCCACTTCTTGTCTCGATTATTCATGCCTACTCCTTTACCTAAATTCTAATTTCGGGACGAAATTCCTTCTAACGGGGGGATGATGTGACAACCCGAAATTTCTATTTTGTACAACCATTCACTTCAATAGGAGTCAAAACTATTTCTGCTAATTTTCAAGCTTTTTGGAATAAGTTTGAGTATTTTAAGATTAGTACTTCAAGAGATAACAGGAGAGAGGATGCCCTAGGGTTTATTGTGCAACAATATTATTCCAAAACTCCAAGAGTTTGGAGTTTACGGCCTAAACAAAGGTGTTTACGGCCGTAAACCCTAAATTGGGGGTATATATATGACACTTAGTCATTATTTACCATTTTTCACAAATTCAAGATCCAAACTCAATTCTCTCTCAAGTATCATCCAACAATTCTTCAAGATCTTCAACTTGTAAGTGTTTCTAGCCCTAATAAGTTGATATATTACTTAATCTAGTGATTTAACACACTTCCATCGGTGAAATCATTCCAAAAGGTTAGATCTTCAAGTTTCACCAAGAACACCAAGAACACACACTAGTGTTCTTGGACTTTTAGCACCTTTTCAAGCCTCTATCTTGTAAGTACTTCTATCCTAGAGTATAATAAGGCTTGTTACACTTCTATACATCAAGAAAACACCAAGGAAACCAAGGATCAAAGGTGTTTATGGTCCAAGAACACCTTGGACCGTAAACCGTAAAATGGGTGCCAAAGTGTGCCCTAGTCCCTTCTAAGCCTTGGAAACTTGCATAGATCCCTTCCTTAATGAGTTTAGTACTTGAAAACATCAAAAGACCATAAACCATATGGGTTTACGGCCGTAAACCCAAGGAGAAGTGGTCCAGGGACCGTAAACTCCAATTAGGAGTGAAATGGTGCCCTAATCTCTTCCTAAGGCTTATACTTCAAGTAGAAAGGCTTCTAAGGACTTGTAAAGCTTCAAAACGCAAATGGTCAAAGAAACATGAGTTTACGGTCGTAAAATCATGGGTTTACGACCGTAAACTCATAGGTTTACGACCGTAAACTCAATGAGTTATGGTCACAAAACCGTAAACTCAAATAAAGGGTTCCCTTGAACCCTAAACTCAATAGCAATGTCCTACAACACTTAGATGCAATCCTTAGCACTTATAACACTTATAGAAGGTGTTTAACATGTCCTAGGATGTCTTAACTTTGTTAATTAGGTTTTTCAAGACTAATTGGATACATATATGTGTTATTATATGTTAACTATGATCATTGTGTGTGTACAAGTCTTCACTTGACACCTAGCATCCTCTACATTCCGTTCATCCAAACCACTCACTACAGGTGAGTTCGTGTACCCCTTAATTAACCTTTTAAATGTTTTTAAATGCTTTTATGGGGGGGAATACAAGTTGAACAATTATAGTTATTATATCAATCACATGTGATTAATAACTACCAAACAAGTGGATTTCTTACTTTTCAAACTGTGTTACCAAACTATTTTACATACCAAATGCTTTTATCAAACTCGTTTACATGTTAAATACTTTTACTTAAACTCTTTTAACTTATATTATGTGTATCTATATAGATATAGTTATATAAGTAGGATTGAAAGGACTTAGGACTGATAGCTCACCTTACTTCCTGTTCCTTGTTTGGTTGTGGACTTAGGGTATTCGGGTTATTTGTCCGAAGGTCGTTTGAATCCTAATTATATATCATGTATATGTGTATAGATATAAAAGGTTACTTCTTTCATTCAGTTCAATGCCTTTGGGTAGCAAAGGTATACAAACATGTTCATATACACAAACAACATTACTAGTAAACTATAATAGGTATGGTTTAGGAAGATACTATTACTAGAACAATGAAACATTCAATGAGTCAGTTCATTCATGAGTAATACATAGTGATGAGAAACAAACATAATACATAGTAATGAAAAACAAACATAATACATAGTGATGAGAAACCAACATAATACATAGTGATGAGAAACCAACATAATACATAGTAATGAGAAACAAACATAATACATAATGATGAGAAACAAACATAATACATAGTGATGAGAAACAAACATAATACACAGTGATGAGAAACAAAACATACAAGCTAGACAGAGAAAGAACACACAATACAGCTAGCACATACATATACATATACATATACATTAAATACAGTTATGTGAGCCACTTAACGGGGGAACATGGCACTACCTGTCATGACCCGTTTTGTATCCAGAATCTCCTTAATTGGGGAGCGTATGAGTTTGTGTATAGATCTATACTGGATTGACTATCCTACACCTCGTTGCTCGCTACAGTGGGACTTGCAAGTCTATGGGTTCCAAACGTCATTTCTTACGGCGTCTTACATCGTCGTTTTACTAGAGTCGGTAGCAGGATACTGGCCGATCACATGGTACTTTAAATAACAATTAGTTTAAAGTAGTTAGTACAGCAGTAGTTACTTAATACAACACTACAGTACTATTTTATTTTCCCTTTACATTTACTTTGTGATATTCACACAATAAACAATAATGTAAGAACTATATTTTTGGTTAATGATAGTCAGATTTGGGAAAATACACACTCTTACAAGAGACACACACACAGACACTAGATGCCTTGGTAGAAGGCTACTTTTAGTAGGAAACATAGGGTTTTCTAGGAGAGTTCAAACAAATACAAACTTTTACAAAACTTATACATTACAAACATCTTACAAATGCTTTCCTACAAACACAAACATTAATATACTTATGATCTCACCAGCTTTAAAGCTGATAAACTCTTTCAAAATAACTTGTATTCTCAGGTCACCAGTAGACAGGTACCGGTGCCAGGTTCTGAGAAGATGGAGCTCGTTCAAGACTCATCTTTTATTTTGATGTATATTTTTGGTGTCTATATAACTTGACAGAACACACTTGTATGAAATTATTTTATTAATGCAATGGATGATGTTGTTGCTTGTTTACTACTTTGCATTGTTGTGATACTGAACATGACGTCCTCCACCCCCGAACGTTTCCGCCGTTCCGGTTTTGGGGTGTGACAGTGCGGCTGGCTGGCCGTACAGTCGGGTGTGCGGTCGCACACACCTTGCTTGGTGTGTTTGGCCCGATTTTGTGATGCTACACACATTCTAACCCTTCCTAAGACTCATATCTTGATTATACTAAGCCTAATGCACTTATATAGACCCAAAACTTCCTTACAAAATTGCAAAAACGAGGCTAACTTTGATAAAAATGAAGAATGTATAAGTTAGAAATTTCGGGTTGTTACAGTGTCCGTATGATATGAAAACATGTGGCCGTATTATAAAAGTGTGGCAAATGTGTACGAAATTTTTTTCCTTAAATATCTAATATTGTAGCGTTAAACCTACAATAGTCACATATATTTAGTAAACGTGGTGACTGTATATCACCAAATTGCGACATTCATGATGTTTTAGTGTATTTGTTTTCTTTTATATTGTCACACAGTTTAAATTTTATTAAGACTATTTTGTATCTTTTGTAAACATGTAATTATGGTGAGTGTGACCATGTTTGCTAAATGGCCACATGTAATTACTTCCACAAGTGGCGAATTGTTAATTATTAGTCACAAAAAACAATCAATTTTTGTGACTATAACCTATCGTATAGAGACACACAATTAAGTGAAATACAATCATAAGTATTATAAAGACACATATTTTGTTAAAATTAAGGACTATTCGGTATTGTATTAAGACTATTGGGTATATTTTAGACACACATAATTACGGTGAACATGTCCATGTTCGGTAAATGGACACATATAATTAATGATGTAAGTGACGATTAGCTAGTATTTAGTCTCAACAACAATCAATTATGGTATTTATTTGCCACATAAATTGTTTTTCATGTTGTTATTGTTTAACTTAGTCACAAGAACTTTAGAATAAACATCATTTTAAATCAATTATAGTCTCATAATTCTTGTATATTATGGCTATTGTTAACCATTTAGCCACACGCTAAAAATTGATGTAAAGTAACCATTGTATATTTTTAGAGACATTAAAAACCTATAAAATATGGCCAAATTTATATTAAAGCCACAATAATTCTATTTTTATTGTTAGTTTTTCTATATTGTAGATACATCAAAACAATATATAAATGAAAGTAACCAAGACCGACAATATGAAACAATATCAAAATTCAGAATTCGATATTATTAATAACTGAAATCCAAATCCATACATTAAATTCGTAATTAAAATACCAAAAAAATGAAAATTGTACTAATTGCAAGTATTAAAATATGATAAATAAAGCAAAAACATCATAAACCAAAAACTAGACATAACTAGGCATTCATCTTGTTGGTATTGCTCCTTGTCTTCATGAGAAGACTATTGTTCGATATAAAAGTTTCCCTACACTTCTTTGAGTTTTGAAGTTAATTGTCTTGAGGTGATTTTATATTTGATACCTATACCAACAACATTGAAACAAAATTGAATAAATAAAAAACATAATAAAGTAGTTTACGAAGGAAAAAAAAACCCATTAATGTATGATTCTTAATCATAGTAGAAACAAGGGAGTTGAAAACTTACTATGTTTCAACAATTCGATTGGTGTTTACTTCAGCTTGATCCACTCCAACAATCCTCAACATACCAAAATCAGAAATCTTAGGGTTCATATCAAAATCCAGCAAAATTTTGCTAACCTTCAGATCATGATGAATGATTCTTAATCTTGAATCTTCATGTAAACTAGAAAAGTTTCCCCATGCTCCGCATGGGTTGGAGTATTCAAGTTTTCGGACTTCATTGTAGTTTTTTTGGGGAGTGAAAGTGGAAGGTCAAATAATTGACGAAAACTATCATATATATAACATGGTGAAAATAGATATTAGAATTACATAGGTTGTTTATTTACATACTAGTCTGGTTTTTACTACAAGGAGATCAAAAAATTCATGAATCATTTGCATACTTCCCATCATTGAATAAGAAAAAACCTGGCAGAGATTCCAGCCCAGCAGTTGAAAATTCAATCTCATGTGGTTGAAAGTTGTGGAGTACAAACTCCATAGAAACTATAGACATGAAATTTTTTGCATCTTCCATCTATAAATAAGAATAAGTAATGAACTAACTCACCATCAACTGTATTTCATCCTTCAAAGCTATTTGAGTTGCTTCTTTTGCCTATTAATCGCAAAGTTTAACTTTAAATTTTAGATATTTTATTGTTGTTATGTATCTATGTCAAAAGAACAAACACGTTTTAAGCACTACTGTTGACTATACATGACAATTTGATCAAACGGAAACATTTAAATGAAAAAAAGCATAAAATAAAACTAACTCCAAGTTGACTGATGCTTCTATCAACCAAATTAATACAAAAAATTACATAAACCACCTCTCAACCATTTATCAATATGCAATATCTATAACATAAATGGAAAAAATAAATAACATGGATTCAACTATAGTACAGCACCACAAAGGAAAACAATATTTATAAAAAAATCGATTACATGAAGATATATGAGCCCAGATTGTACCTTTCAATAGTCAACTTCAAAGTAACTTGATTGATGTTTGCCTGTTAATTAAGTTCGTTAGTCAGGTCCATACCAGTGTCACTTCTTAACTTCAAACGAAGTTGATCTACCACCTTCAAACCAATACCAACCTGAAACATAAATACCAAAGAAATAAATACAAATTTATTATCAAACATTTTTTTAGAATAAATGTGTAGATACTAAATAATGACTTCTTTTACTTAAAAATAACAAGATTTTTCCAATTTTCAATTTTGACTCTATATGTCCTTCATACTCAACAATTAAACAAAACCACATATAGATGAACAAATTCTTCTAAAAGACTGCAGCAACTTAATTCATTTTCAAAAGAAAATAACCACATAGGGGATCAATCTAAAACAAAATCAAAAGTTCCACCATGTAAGTACATCAATCTGATCACCCTCCTATACCACCTGAAGGCAAGTGATAGAACATAAATTTTGATTAAGTAAATAGGACTGAAACCATAAACCATAAATGTAAGTTTGATTCAACTTTACCAAGTAGAAACACTGCTAACCAGATTTTTCATTGAGGATTTTTGTCGAGCATTTGGTGTTCAAATAAAAAAAAGCAAAAAGAACATAAAGTTGTATTCCACAATTGAATTCCTATTCTAATAACAAAGGTCAAATCCAAATAAACAGTAAATTACCAAAACAAATGGTGGAAGTAAGAATGAAAAACTCACTTGTCTCTAAATCATGCCAAAACGAAAGGAATTTCATGGATAGGTATTACTCTGATTAGTCTAAGAAGTATTCTTGATGTTTCTTCTCCGTCTTAAAGCCCCGTCAATGGCTGAGTCGGAGTTTGTTGGCCACCTGTTTTCTTCTCCACGCTTATAGCTAAATAAAATGACGAAATTTCTATTGAAATTGAGGAGAAATCATAAACAGAAAGGAGAAATCAGAAGCAGAGAGAAAGGCACCTGATTTGATTTCAGAGAATGGAAGTTAAAGCGTATACACGAAGGTGGTCATTGTTAACAGGGAAGACAAAGAGGGAATGGCGGTGGGGGTTCTATGTCTGTCGCCTTCGATTGTTTCCCTTTTCTCCGTATATCATACCGCCTCAGATTGCTTCGATTTCAAAATCCAAACCCAAGTAACCCAGGGTTTTTTTCCAATTGAAAGGCACATAGACGGAACTAAAGTTCCCTAAAAACCCCTAGGATGCTTTTTTTAAGGCAATAAAAAACGGAGGGTGAGGGGAGATCGAGATCGAGATAGGCACGAAGACGAAATCGAGATAGGCGGAAGTATTTTTTTTTTTTGGGGGGGGGGGATCGGTAGGAATGAATGCTTTTGTTTAAAAATTTTGAAAGATATAAAATTTAAAATATGAAGATGAAATCGAGAGGGGCGGCAATAGGTTTTTTTTAAGGAAAACTAGCAGGAATTACCCGCGCCGTTGGCGTCGGGTTGGATCGGGTTTGCTTAAATGTTGATAAATTTTTATTTTTGTGTACAATTCAATGAATTTTTTTTCTTTGTAAGCACAAAATAAACAACATAAGTCATGCTCGAGTTATAAAACATGTGTTGTTAAGAAGCAAACTAATTACATGATTGAACGGGAGTCGTTAGAACAGATGATGGAATGGAATGTGTCATCAATGGAGTTGGGATTGAGGTGTATGGTCCAGTGAGGGGGAAGATGCAACACGGGAATATGATCGAATTGATGTAGACGTATGGTATAGTGGAATGGAATTGACTGAGTTTGATGATCGATGGTCCTAGATTCATAGCAGCCTGCAAAATAAAAATTAGTTAATAACTTTTAAAAAAAAGGGGAAATTCCACAAAAACCGCTATATTTTGGGCAAATTTGTGGTTTAACTTTTTATACTTTATGTTTTTTTTCCAAACAAACTATAAAAGTTTCAAACAGTTGTCCTTTTTAACCTTTTTTATTATATCATAAGGATATAATAAATTTCATGGATAAAGGCAACAAAAGCGGTCAAGTAACTAAGAATAGACCGTGCTCTAATTCAGGTTCAAGAAACAATCATATACAAACTAAGCCAAATCCTTTCCCAAAAAGTGAATATCAAACCATGTGATATAAGATCATTGAAGCAATTAAGTATAAAACGCAGAAATTGTCATTTACTCTCCTTCACAAGATTTGACCAGTTTAAGAAAGAAACAAACTTTATGTATATATGAGTTTAACCGGACATACATCATTATTCATTCAGCTAAACCATTATACTTTTATTTTTTACCATTTTGGAAAATAAATAAGCCAAAGGACCAACTTACCCTCCATCTATACTTATATACGAGATATGCTCTACCTCCGGCCGTTGCTAACCTCAAGAAAATAATCCACATGGCATCCCATGAAGATTTACCTTTGCCAACTGTCTTACCTGCCATCATTTATAATAAATAAATAAATAAATAGTCAAATAAAAAAAATAAGAAATAGAAAACATATTAATGCAAGTATCAAGGTATCTCATATAAGGAAGATCACCAGTACAACTACACTCATACCTTCCTCATGTATGCTTCCAACTGCATTCTAGACATTTACATGATTTCTTCTCTTTACATTCATTAACATCTGTGTTCAATAACTCATCTTATTTACCAAATTACCTTTCTAAAACCCTTCCATCATTTTAAAAAATTTATTTACCTTCACGATTTTTAACACCATCAGCTTTAAATCCCGAAGGACAGGCACATTTTCCATTTTCATTATCATCTTATAAACCCTACATTAGAATGAAATTACCAAAATGCCTATGAATAAATTGCAAGAGAGAACAAAACCAGACAAGGTGAGAGTGAACTACAATCTCGGCTTTCATTCCAACATCCTCCATTATTGATCTTACAATGCCTGGGGCCACTTGCTACAAAAATACTTAATTACCAAAATACCCTTCGAAAACTAATTTATGTTCTTGACTAAAATGAATGAAAGTATACCTACACATGAGGTGTACCCATCTTCTTCGAATTGTACTCCATCAAACTCTCGTATGAAATGTATCTTGTGTAAAAACTGTAAAAGTATACGGAAAATTTTATAAATTTGTGAGCTTGAGATATAAAAATAAAAAAGGATACAGATGTATATAAAATCAGATCAAAAATACATATATATACAACACAATAAATTAATTAACCCGCACTTTGACAACTGTACCCAATTATAGCATTAATCGTTTAAAAAATCTTATTATAACAGTAAATATGGTTTGTATTTGGATCATATTCCTATAAATTGGTACATTTTTTCAAAGTATATTGCTATTTTGCTCCATTAAAACCTAAAAATCCAAGTAACCTCTTGTTTGTATAATTTTTCAACCTTTGTTGAAACTGTTTGTATCGAGGGAATGTATTTGGGTTTGTTCTCAGTATGCTATTCGTAAATTTTTCCCAAACCTGCCAAAAGATCACATGTTTTATTTCCATTTGAAAAGTCAATTTACAAAAGATAAAGAAAATGGATGGAAGTTTCATAAAATGTGTCGATTTAAAAAGCACGAACCTTTGTGGGTCCCAACGCAGTACTGTTGTACATGTGGTTTTTTCTTTTTCATCTTTTGACTTTTCATCACCTGTAATAAAACATAAATTAATATAATATTACAATTTCAAATCTTTTAAATTAATATAATTTTCATAAATATATGTATACCATATTAGAGTTGCAGAGTGTGAGGTTATCTCTCAACAGATACATGACGAAGGTGTTGTAATTGAGGAATTCCTTCTTCAAAAGCTTGATTAGTCCAATAGTAGGTTCGATAACATGTACAACAGAGTTAACATAAAGTACAACTGGCCAGCAGTTAAAATATTGTAGCAAAGTAATTCAACCAACAATAGATCATTTAAATTGGTAAAAAATAATTCCAACAAAGCAACAATATATACTGTCAAGGTTAATCCAAAATTCTATGTTAAAATATAAAAAAATGCCAAATTAGGCCAAAATGATGAAGTTGTTGACTACATGCGGTTGCGATCGATTCCTAATTGCGTATAAGAAGATGACAAAGTCTTGGAAGGTTGGACCCCCTCAAGTCTTTTAGGTACACGGTAAGTCATGTTTTTCTGCCAGGTCACACTTTACCTTGTTTTACCTGAAAACCTCAGCCACTTGCACAAAAAAATGTTAAATTGATGAGTTTAGTATCGTGTTGATTCAACAGCTTCTTCTTGGCAGTGAGAACATCATTCGCATCCCCTGTTTTCATTAGTATTGAAAAACAACCCAGAGTGAGACAATAAAGTTGAAAGAAATGCTTTAATTGGAAACCCAGTCACGTGAGCTTAAGAGTTACTCGAATCATAGCAATCATATTCTGTTCTAACTCAAACAATTGAGGTAATTCCAAATCGCGGAAGAAAAGTAAGTCGAAAATTTAAGGCTTATATACCCGGTTGAGGTGTACCATCGCCACCGAAGGTGATGAAGCCCTATCCATCGCTGCAATTCCAGTTAGAAGACCTATAACGGAAAGAGGGCAGCAAGTAAAAAAAATTCAGATGGAAAAGTAATACAGATCAGTGAAGTGTAAAATCAGGGCTCAGATTGGTCATGATTTCCGCCAAAAATTAGGACTCAGATTTGGTTATGGTTAGAAATTCAGAGAAAGCTAAGAAAATAGAAAAAGGCCGAGCAGCGACGTCGCTAAAGGAGACTTTATCGGTCTGTTCGGTTCTCCACAAAGGCAACCGCCGCCACCGATATTACTTCTCCGTCCTTCAGCGTCTCGAACGTGATGTTTGGTTGGATTCTTCTCCAATATCCCTTCTGTATGGTTGGATGTAGAAGAAACGGGCCTTGAAAAGGAGAATGGATTTAATCATGGGATAAAGATAAGAAATGGTAATGGTAAGTGATTGGATGCGAGAGGCGGTGGCGGTAGCAACACATTATTGGATGGGAAAGGCGGTGGGTGAGTGACGAAGCCTCAATCTGTGAAAGAATATGTTAAGGGACGTAAGTGTAAAGGTCCTAAATTAGCGTGACAATCGTCTTAAACAGGCAGAAATCTGTGGTGAAATTCGAATTCATGTTCACCAATCGGATGAGAATTAATATGTATATAATGAATATTTTATTTTAAAAAGTTCAAAAAAAAATTAAAAGATTTCACATTTAGAAAAATAAAAATAAAACATATCCTAATAAAATATTTTGGGTCAAAAGTTAAGAAAAACAAATAAAGTTTAATACTCCCTCCGTCCCAAAAAAGAAACATGGACTATTATTTTGAGACGGAAAGAGTAGTTAATAATTTTCATTACTTTTTATATAAAAAAAATCGAAGTTCTAATAAATTACTTTTAAATTTTTATATATTTTAAAATTTGATTAATGATAGTAAACTAGGAATAACTCTAAAGCAAATACTTAAGTGGGCGATGCAGGGGTGAGGTGGTGTAGGGGTATCTGTGTTGACGTAAAGTGGGTGGGTAGGGTCGGATATGGGTATGGGTAGGGGATGGTAGGCGTTGGTGGATGAGTATATACATGTGAGTTTCATGGTATGGGTCGGATATGTGTAAAGTAGGTGTATGTGTGGGTGGGTGGTGTAGGTTATATAAGGTGTGGGTGGGGTATGGGTGTGAATATAGGGCGAGGTGGGTGGTATTGGTGTAGGTGGGGGTAAAGTTAGGTGAATTAGTGGGTGTGTGTGAGGTGGGGATGTAGGAATGTGCCTTAAGCCTAAACCTATAAGACATGAGACATAATCCATAATTCATAAGCCCTAAGTCATAAGTCATAAGCCATAAGCCATAAGCCAAACATCATACACCACAAGCTATAAGTTATAAGTCTTAAGCCTTAAGTCATAAGTCTCGAGACATAAACCATAAGCCATAAACATTAAGTTATAAGTCATATATAAGCCACAATCCTTAATCTATAAGACACATGCCATAAGTTATAATCCTTAATCCCTAAAAACATAAGTTGTACGCCTTAATCCTACAATCTCTAACACCCACCTAACCCACCATAAGGCATAGGGCTTAATGCCTGGTATATGCTTAGTGCTTAGGGCTTTATGCGTAGTGCTTATGGATTCGGGCTTATATGGTAGTTCTGAAGGCTTAGGTCTTATGAAATACATGCACATATACATATACGCACATACACATACACAAATGCATAAACTCTAAGACATACCCCGTAAACCCTAAGCCTTACACCATATGACATAATCCTTAAGGCTTAAGCCATAAGCATTAGGCTTTAGCCCTAAGACATAAATCATAAGACTTAATCCATGCACCTTAACCATCAAGTAATATGACTTAAGTTATAAACCATAATCCCTATGTCGTAAGCCATAAGCCAAAAGCCCTAAGCCTAAGTCCTACAACCTAATCCGTAAGCCATGAGTATTAATCTATAAGTGATACATCATAAGCCATGAGATATAAGCCCAAAGTCGTAATTCATAAGCCCTAAACCATGTGAGGGAATATAGAGCAAATATAACACCTAAATAGTTTACTAGGGTCACTAACGCGAATCTTAGATTATTAAGATTGTCAAAATCTTAGTGAAATTAGTTAAATAGTGAATTTTACGTAGCGTTCGACTATTGTGGCGATAATAATTCGAGTAGTTCCTTACTTCAGCCGATAAGGAGGATGTTCGTTCGCATAGTCAAAATAGGGCCTAAATTCTCTTATTTCTTTTCTTCTTTCTCCTTTCTCGGCCCAACTATATATATATATATATATATATATATATATATATATATATATATATATATATATATATATATAAAAGGGGAAGAAATGTGGAAATGGCTAGAATTGTGCCACCTCCATATTATTTAGCATATAAACATGCATATTACCCCACAAATATTGAGGCAACTAACCAATTAACCACTAAGTAAAGACTAAACTTCTCACTCTTATCTCTCACTCTATCTCTCGGCCTATCTCTCACTCTCCAACCTCTCTCTCATTTCAAACTCAACCCATATTCTCTCAACTCTTCTCCATCCTTCATCTCTCAAAGAAATCGTGGATTAAGGGAGATCTTCAAAGAATCACTTCAAGCTTCATATTTGTGGTGAGATATTACAAACCTAAGTGATATACTTCATCTTTAAACTTATTCACTCCTCTTACACTCATGTTTTCGTGAATCATGCTCTTAGAACACCTTAGAGCCCGAAAATCATCTCAATAACACATCTAGGGCCGAGATCTCTTCATTTCTTCATCAAAAACCGAAATCTTCAAACAAGGTGAGTTCATACCCCTTTATTTTCGGTTTTATATGATTTTTGGGGGAGAATACAAGTTGCTATATGATAGATCTCGAAAACTCTAACAAAAATGGGTGAGATTTGAAAACTAAAACACTCTAAGCAACATCCTACAAAAATGAAAGTGTTAAACATGTCTAAGATGTTGAAAAACTAAACAAAATCGTGTATAAGGATCATTTTTGACAAATAAACAAAAGTTGTGACATTTGTGACTTTAAATCATTCCCGAGTTTGTTTTGTAAAATATCAAACCAAAAGAATTTCTTTTTGTAATGAATTAAACCAAAAGGGACTATTTTTGATCTTTTAAAACAACATAAGGACCATTTTGTAAAGACTAAGAGGGTGTTTAACTTAGCTTTTGAAAGCCAAAAAGTTTTTTTTGTAAAAGTTGGAAAAGTCAGGATTACGTGACTTTTCAAAAAGATGCCCTTTAGTCTATTGAAAAAGTTGAAAAAGTCAGGATTACCGAATATTTTTTTTACTTTTAGAAAAAGATAAAACTGAAAAGTCAGTTTAAAAGTTATGACAAACATCCTCTAAGTCCAATAGAGTCCAATAGGATTTGCCTTGAAAGCTGTCAAAGGTGTCAGTTTTAATTTAAAGTATTAAACACAGGAACTGTTTTGCCACATTCCCCAAATATACCAAAGGAGACGCATCTTCTTCTGATCAGGGAAGAGGAACGGACGGCCAAAAGAAACGCGAATGAAACAGTCATACGCCTCTCATCTGTCGAGCGGAGGGAAAAGGAAATCGAAGGCGGCAACAGGTGGCTCGGTGGAGGAGACCAATCGCAAAAAGGAGGGAAGAAGAAGTCTGTCAAAAAACGGCGATCCATCTTTGGTCTTCGTGATTCTGTCGCCGACAGCAACAACTCGGAAAAGAAATCAGAACAACAAGCAACAACGATTGGGTTTGGGGTGTTTTGGGTCGTGCTTTTTCGAAAGTAGCTGGGGTGTTTGGCTGAGATCGGTGAACAGGAAGGGAAGGATGTGAAAGTAGAAAAGCGGCTCGGTGGTGGCTGTTGTCAACAGCGGTGGTGGCGGAGCATAGTGGCAGTGGGCGCTCTCTGGTGAACCCTCGTGGGTTCCTTTCTCGTCACAGGTTAGTCAAATGGGCAAAGAAACAACACTAATAGGGTGTGTTTGGCGTGATGTCTTCTTGATTGCTGGGAAATCTCCACTTCTGGTGGAGGTTTGGGTTGATTCCATTGACAGGTAAGGCACAAGAAAGAAAACGGGGATGCTGCCCATCTTGGTTTCGCCGGAAACTGCCACCCACCACCGATGGTCCTTGGCAGGAAATGATGAAGATGAAAGGAGGGGTTGATGCTTCTTCATTGGCCAAAACAGTCCATGAATCAGAAAAGCGAAGAGAAATAAAGAAGGATTTTGGGTTTTTGTGGTGATACATTTGTTTTCAATTTCCAAATTTGGTATTCACCATACATTATAGATTTACTTTTTGAGTGCCAAATTGGTCAAGGTGAAGCTTGAAATCAACATACTTGGTTGTCAAATTTTATTTATTGTTGTACTTTGAGGTAATTTTAGAAGCAATGTATTGCTTCAATTATTAATATGTATTTATGTATGTAGAAACATGTATTTGGTGTATTATTGAGTGATGGTGGTAAAAATGTGAGTGTAGATGTTATAGTCATATTGCTAGAAATTTAAAATCAATTATGATCGACTCAAAGTGCCAAAAGTACAATGTCATATTTGGAATATCTAAAATGGTGATATTTTCTAACTTTCTCGATTCGTGTGCTCTCGATCCGGATATAATTTTTTTTTTTTGAAAATGACAAATGATAATCTTGGTTATAAGATTTCCCAAAACTGAAAAGGATCTTAAATCCGATAAGTAGAACTTCGGGAAAACCCGTTTAAAGTTTCGCGATTTGTATGATCGGATTCGACAGATTTTTCAAATCTGATTTTGGTCGAGACTAAAAATGTGATAAAATAATAGAACGTAGTCTGAGTTCAAAAACGTGCTCAAAAACAGTTTACGAGATTCGAAGCTATTCAAACGAAACAGGGCACGGTTCATTTCAAAAAAATCAGATAAATACTGATTTTTATAACCTTAAAGAGTCGTAACTTTCTCATACGACATCCGTTTTGGTCGTTATTTATATCCACGAAATCAGGTGAACATATTCTATTCAAATATCTTATCCATAACTCTCATATATATCTGATGCAAAAATTATTTTTTTAACCTTACCAATAAATTTAATTTTTGTAATTTTCGAATTGATGTTCAATGATAGAAGGTTCGAGGAGTTTGAGATGTTCTAAAAGTAATTGTAAATATAATATCTATAGTATACTTTATAAACATAAAATTACACGCAATTGATATTTATTGCATAACGGTTCGCGGTGGTTTGACTGCCGAACTCTAACCAATTTTACCAGTTGTTACAATTTTTTAACTTAAGACATACACTAGTACAAAAAGAATGACCATTATATAATCATAGTCACATATTCAATGACCATACTATAATTATATTGAACATACATTATTTTACTTATATAACTAGACTTATCTATAGACACACATAATAATTGTAACCATAACTAAATGCTACTTACAGTCACAATATTTGTTTTTTTTCAAAGCTAATTCATCATATTTTGACATACATAATAAAATGCACATGACCAGAAACCACTAAAAGTAATGTGTTTTCTTGTTTTGACTAAGTCACTAGTAAACACTTTTCTATGGACACATAAATATTTAATGTGATCATGTGTATCACATGTTAGCTACATTAGATTTCATGTGTCTAAAATATGCACCATGATACAGAAACATGTACAATTGCCTCATTTGACCATATACTTATCTATTGTCTCTTATAAAAAAAATATCATAACATTAATCAATACACGTGGTTGATATCAAAGATAAATATGGTCAAATTTAAGAGTCTTCCAAATACAATAGTACAACCAGAATAAACATTACATAATTATAAGAACATATTCAATGAACGACCCCTAATTATACCGATAAGACATTATTGTTCTTTTATAACTATATTTACATATAGACACATATAATAGTTGTAATCATAACTAAATGCTACCTACAAACACAATATTTGTTTCTTCTCAAAGCCAATTCATAATATTTTGACACACATAATAAAAGGTACATGACCATAAGTAACATATTCAATGAACGACCCCTAATTATACCGATAAGACATTATTGTTCTTTTATAACTATATTTACATATAGACACATATAATAGCTGTAATCGTAACTAAATGCTACCTACACACACAATATTTGTTTCTTCTTAAAGCCAATTCATAATATTTTGACACACATAATAAAAGGTACATGACCATAAGTAACCAATACTAACTTGTTTTATTTTCTTGCGTTAACTAAGTACAACTAGTACAGAACCGCACTATGGACACATAAATATTTAGTGTGACCATATGTATCACCTTTTAGCTACTTTGTCTGTTATGTGGCTATAAAGGCATCAGGTTATAGACACACATAGAACTAACTCATGTCACGATACGTTTATCTACTGTCTCTCATAAAAAAGTATGACAATCTTAATCGATAGCTGTGGCTGATTGTGACCTATGGCCTCAGTGGTCGAGTGTGACTAATTATTGTCACATTTGGTATAATTAAGTGTGGTTAAAGTTTTTAATGGTCACACAAACTAATTTAAATGTATCCAAAAACAGTCTCTAAATTTTTTTAGTGACCTTTGGCCACACTTTTAATAAAAAGTGTCACATGCCGTTTTTCGGAAAGTGTGACCGTAGGTCATTTTTGTACTAGTGCTGCCTATAACGCGAATTGGAAGGTCGTGATGATGTCGTGTCGATGAGATTGTGGAATGTGGATCACATGAGGAAGCCGCACAATATATCTATCTGGAGGAGTCTTTGTGTTCAGTTCAGCAAAATTGGGCGCTTGATTGAAATCGTGTGGCTGTCTTATCGCAGAAGAAATGTAGTATTAACTATATAGAAAAAGATGTGAAAAAAACACCATTTTTGAACACTTGTGAGATCGATGTAGAAAGTTTGAAGTACATGATTTTGAGCACCTTATAATAGTACATTAATAAAGGAAGGTGGCATATGGATATATAGATAAAAAAATTTGAATGATGTTCTTCATTGCTATGTTAATAGTCAAAATAGTGTTGGTTATCCTACAATTTGGAGACTGCTTTACAAATACTTAGGTTTCATGGTGGTTTCTACTGTACAAAATTATGTATATGTTATCAAATACAATGCAAAATTCTGGGTCATAATGAGCAGATCAGGCCAGATGCAAGTTGAATGAAGACATCCTCACGACATGGAATTGTGAGGCCACCCATTGGATGATCATAACCAAATTCTTCCTCTGATTGACGTAGCAGATCTTGGAATGAAGGCTGGTCTAATAACAATAAAGGAACAACAAATCGTCTTTTTTCTTGATCACCAACATAAACTGCAAAATGTCCTTTGGGGATGATTTCTACCGATGATGATGATGAGCGGCTTCCATTGGAGAATGATCGACCGAGAACCTTTTTGGCCTGAATGATTTGAGGCATACGAATGGCCATTTTTATATGAAGGCTACGGTCTCTTTCTTCTGAAAAGGATTTCTTTTATGTGAAAGATGCTATGATGGATTTTGGGAGGAGTTGTGCTTCATATCAGCCCAATTGTATCCATTTTATAGGTGTATGAAGATTTCCATGAAGATCAAATAATAGTAGGAATTTCAAAGAAGAGATGGTGACACATTCTACCAAAAAGAAAAATCACATGATTTTGTCTTCCAACTTGTTATTGCCCCAAAGAATTATATATGTACAATGAAGTATGCAACAAAATTTCAGTGTAATACTGAGTGGCCAAGCTTCAGCTACACTATGGACCCATGTACAAGTGAGTCTTATGGACACACATCATTAATTATTTCTCACATGGCCATGTTTGTCAAAAATATCAGAAGGTTAGGCATCTTTATTTCAAGTGCAACAAGTCCACAATTTCAGGTCCTGAAATCAACAAAACATCCAAAAAGAAATCAATGCTCATATCTAATCTGATATATGAATTAAACACATAGTATGCACTTAAATATTTTCCTTTTCCCTCCCGAAGAAAATCAGATATATATCTTCTGAAGGTTGTTCTGTTATCAATGATCGATACAAATTAAAGGATCCGCTATTTGACTTTAACTGATAGCCGATTGGCTGTTTGCTTTTCCGTAACTCTGATATCAACTAATTAAGTGACCCATTGTGTTTTTATATTATTCATTTATTGATTACAAGCAGTAACTTGTGATGTTGAAAACTTGATATATATAGGTCCATGTATTGTGGGGTCTTTCTAACTATTTTGGTAGGTTGTCAGTGATTGCCATGTTGCTTGAGTAATTAAGATTTGTAGCGGAATAAATCTCTTGGGAAGAAAGTAGGATGTGATGATGTTTAGGATGTTCCAAGAGGGGTCTCTGCTGGAATTCTTTGTGATTATAATATTTGAAACTCAATGCCTTGCCTTTTCCTTAGTTTTCATGATATCTATACAAGAGTTGTAGCTAGACTTTATATTGAAACCTTCCTAATTAGTAATATGGTCATGATCTAATATAAATATGCCTAATAGTTTGCCATCAGAAGAAGCTAAGTACCATGGTATTCGCAATATGAGTTCTTTTCTTTAAACTTCCGAGCTTCCTCAAGAAAGACATTACAATGCCCTTTACAAAGTCGTTCCCTTGAGTTAATACACTAACATGTGTGATCCTACCATGAATTTTTATCTAACTATTGATCATTGGTCATCGGCCGATTTCTCTTCACCAATCAGTCCCTATCATAACAGGTTAGAGGAAAAGAACAATAACTGATAGCTCTTGGGTAGGTGGTGTTATAGAAACAACTGATCCAGGCCTTAAGGCTATAGTATATGGAGAAAGATGTGGCATACACACTTTTTTTTAACAGATTGAAAATACAAGCTAAAGAACAAAAGTAAGTACGTGGTTCTGGTGGGTTTAGAGGACATTGATAAAGAAAGCCCTAATGGCATAGACATGAACACCATAAGTTGAACTATGCTCGTCATTAATGTATTAATGCTGAAACTAAATTTTGTTATCATACAATTAATTTGGAGACTACATTACTCCCTCTGATTTACAAGTAATTAATCTTCATGGTGATTTTGACTGTACAAAACTGTTAGCAAACACGATGCATGCCAAGCTCTTCATCATAACGAGCTAAGGCGGCAGGCAACATCAATGAACACTTCCTCACGACACGGAATTGTGAGGCCGCCCACACTACAAGAAACGGGACCTATCGGGACGACAAATGTCGTCTCTATAGGTTAAAAAAGTCGTCCCTATAGGTGTCCGGGACGACATGTCGTCCCTGTAGCTCTCGTCCTCATAGCCCCGTCGCAATAGATCTTTTTGGTCGTCGCTATAAATATCGTCACAATAGCTATCCTTTAGAGACGACATGTCGTCCTGTTCTGGTTCGTCGCTATACATTGCTGGTCTCCATAGATGAAGCTATAGAGACGACATGTCGCCTCTATAGGTATATCTATAAACACAACACGTCGTCTCCATAGATAGAGATGTAGTCGACTCGCCCTACCCTTTAGCAACAGTATGTCGTCGTGGTAAATGCACCTGTAGAGACGACATGTCGTCTCTATAGATCCACCTATAGAAACGACATGTCGTCTCTATATGTATGCCCATACAGCTGCTCTTTTTTCTCTATAATTTCCCAGTTTTCACGTCACAAAATTACTAAAGCAGTAAATTTACAAAATAGATAAAATGGTAAATTTAATTGCAAAACATTAATATTTGATACAATCTCAAAAGACTACATTATTAAATATAATTCATATGAAGAACAAAATTATTAACTTGAGGAAATTTGCATAATCATCACATGCCTTATCATTTGTGTACATAACACTACATTCTACATGGTTTATAAAAACACCATCAACAATGGATTGCTTCTCATCATAGTGTGCCCTTTTTTGCTCCCTAAAGCTTCTTGCACTCTTCCCACTTTCATTATCTGAAAAAAAAAAGGATGAAGGAACTATGAGAAGAAGGAACCTTGATCTTGATGACCATCTATTTCATCTTCATCATCCGAAGATGTCCATCCAGAATGCAATCTCATTCAGTGCTAAACGGATTTCAACTGAACATAATCCAAACCACCTTCTGGAAAAAATAAAAAAGTGTAAATTGTAAGTAAAATGACCACATTTTAATGATTTTATAAATAAAAGATGAATAAATTTATATACCATTGAAGTTTTTTTTTTCTGATGTAACAAAGGTAAGCATCTGTTCCAAATAGGTTGGATTCCCATATATTTGCACATATTCACTAATCGAGGCCTAATAAATAGAAATTTTTATGAAATAAATCAAATTCAAATTATGTAATGTGTACAATTTAATTGGTACCTGTTTCAAGAAAACATGCAACTGGGGATGTGAATCTTGATCGATTAAAACATTATCCAAAATTGTCTGAAATGATGTTACAATTCCCATTTCTTTGTATATGTTGTAAAGCCGGGGTAGCTGAATAACACAAGTATGCATATAAATTATAATGTTAGTTGATATTAAAGTATAAACATTTGGTGTCTTTTAAAGTATTGTAGTAAGAGATCACCTGAATCAACCAGACAACATTCTCACTGTATAATTCATTGTTTACAATCCAACTAGCTAAATTGTCCCATTCACTTTGCTTTCTTCCATATATAGATATTCTGTATTCAGCCATCTGTCAAAAGGCAAAAGCTTTAAGTGTAAGTGTAAGTGGAAGTGTCATGCATGGATCAAAACAAATAAAAGGAATAAATAAATAACATGGATTTCAAAACTCACTTGTCCCATTCACTTTGCTTTCTTCCATATATAGATATTTACTCGCTTCAAGATCTGCAAACACTTGGCTTGTTACCTCAACAAGAAAACGACCTGAAAAAGTAGTGAAACTTACCCCGAATAAGATTGTCCTGTTTCAAGAAAATCTCCCGAAGCCTGCTTTGACCACATGGGTTGTATTTCAGATTGAATTTATCAAAATGATGAAATGTGCACATCTAATTGATCAACATTCAGGTCGTATCTACATTTAAGACTTATGATCAGAAAAAAAAAACATTCACACAAGAAGATATAATTGTTCTACAGATAGTAAAGTTACCCGGTTAAATCCAAGCTCTCAAAAACCTCTTTTAAGGTCAGATATGTCCCATCACAAAATATTACAACCTGAAACAGGAAAAAGGAAACTTTGATTCATGCAAAAGAGAAACACATTTTTAAATGATCAAGAAATAGATATGAAGCATTACCTCATATGGTTTCTTTTTGAACTTGGACTTAATGAACCTCAACAGATGCTTTTGATTCATGCTATCTTACAATCTTTATCTGCATAAACATGAACCACGCCATCTTCCATTTGAAAATAATGTTGCAACCATTTGAATATCAAGTCAAGATTCAAGAAAATAAGCATCAAGAACAAACTTGTGTCAGAAACTTCAAACCTACATCATATTTTGTCTCAGGGGTATACTCAAAAGGATTTGGATTACGCTTTGGAGAACTAGGATCAGATATAACTTGTTTCTCCCATGGAGCAATGCTTTCTCTGAACACATAGCTCTTTCGCATCTCAAGACAACCTTGTAATGCTCTATAAACCTCTGCTTCATCAGAAGATGGTGTCTCTGCAATAAGAGGAGTTGGAAAGAAAGAAGATTATTCAATTTTCAAATACTTGTGTATGTATGTCTTTTCCTGCATAGATGAAATTACAAACAAAAAGAAAGAGAGAAGATTACCAAATGGGCTAATTCTCAGCCTTACAAAGGTCTCGTGCTCTGGTTCTTTCCTAAGAATATCAGCAACTACAGGATCTGGTTGAACACCATGCAGGTCTCCAGATACACTATGCTCTCCATTTGCATTATTATGTTCTGGTAAGCTCCCATGACCCTGTTTGGTAAATGCCAAACAGATGTTAAAAAGCGTGTGTTTCAAGATGGAATATCAGGTATCAGTTACAAACACACACGGAGATCTAATAATGTATCAAAAGCTTACAGCATTTCCATTAGTATGAAGGTATGTTGTATCTAGATCAGCATTGTCAGTCATATCAGCATCTTCTTCAGACGAATAGGAAGTAGACAAAGAGAGTAAAAGGGAAGGATAAGTACCGATTGGAGAGGATACGTGATGATTTGAGCAATGATACCTCCGCCAGCTCCTACAAGGCCATTCACGACGGTGTTCGAAATTCCTCTCCGTCGATGATTCCTGTGAGAGCTATGAAACCATAGAAAATCACAATTCCAGTTTCAAACACATAATTGCTAACATAAACCCCAATTCCAGTTTCTAACCGAGAATTGCTAACCTAGGTCGCCAGGGTGGGGCTTGTAATAGTTAGAACTCGTAACCGGGGATGAAAAGGAAGCCGATAGTTGGAATCGTCGGTGTTGAAGCTGATCGTCGGTGGTCTTCGGCAACTAGCATGAGGATCGGTGGAGAGAGGAAGAAGATTTGCCGGTGGTGGGAGGTGTGGAAGTCGTCAGCAGAGAATCTTTGACCGATCGATCGAGAGAGACCGATGATTGATTACTTAGCGTGCGTGAATGAAACGAAGGGGCTGTTCCAATTTTGGCTGTAGAGAGCTGTGAGGACGACATAGCTATCCCCAAAACGACCTTCCCCATTATTTCCGTCAAAGGATTTAAAAAATATGTTATTTATTTTTTATTTTTTTTTATTGGAGCGAGAAGACGTCCCCATAGGTGTTTCAAGAACGCGCCAAATTCACTTTCGTTCCCGCCTAACATGTTGAGACGAGAGGTCGTCGTTGTAGCTTCAAAAGTCAAAAATAATTAGTCAACTCTATGGCAACAACATGTCGTCCCTATAGGGCGACTATTGCGACGACATATGTTGTCCCTATAGATCTCGTCTCTATAGGTGCTTATTCTTGTAGTGCCATTGGATGATCAAATCCAAATTCTTCCTCTGCTTGATGTAGCAAGTCTTGGAACGAAGGCTGGTTTAATAATGATAAAGGAACAACAAATCGTCTTTTCTCTTGATTACCAACATAAACTGCAAAATGTCCTTTAGGGATGATTTTTGTAGATGACGATGGACGGCTTCCGTTGGACAATGATCGACCAAGAACTTTCTTTGCTTGAATGATCCGAGGCATACGAATAGCCATGTATATATGAAGGGTAAGGTCACTTAATTTGTTTTGGTAAAGAAATGCAATATGAAAGGATTTCGTTTTTGTGACAGGTGCTGTGGAGGAGTTGTGCTTGATATCTGCACAATTGGATGCATTATATAGGTGTAAGAAGATTTCAATAAGATTGGGTAATAGTAGGAATTTTAGCGAAGAGATTGTGACACATTCTAGCAAAATGCAAGATCACATGGTTTTGTCTTCCAATTTGTTATTGGACCCAAAGGATTAGACGTTGAATGAAGTATGCCACATATTTTCTGCAATGTAAGTGGAAAAGAGTGAGCAAAACTATGGCCCAAATGTATATTGGATTCTGAAGGACATGCACCATTATTATTCACATGGCTATGTTTCATTAATAATCGTAATATTTTGCATCTTTGTAATTAATTTATTTTTTGAAGTACAACCATTCCACCATTTTAGGTGGTGAAGTGGTCAGCACTATCAAAAATGAAAAGGGATCAAATCTAATTAGGAATATGAATCAACCACCTACTAATATGCTTGTGAAGAAAATGTTCCACTCTAACTAAATGGGAATCGAGAGTGTCATTGGATGTATTTATGGGGGATTGGCCATTCAAGAAGAAAATGTTGTTTCTTTCATCTAACCTGAAAAAGGGAGAGCTGTTTGAACGTGGTTTATTTTTATATTTATTTTTTTTGTAGATGTTGAACAGATAGAAAAATGTTAATCTTAATTTGGTAGCTTGGGTTAAAAATCTTGTTATCACTCAAAACTCGTGTAATTAACTATTATAGCTGGCATATTTGTTAGCCCATTTTGGTATGTATATCTATGTATTTATACATACCCGACCCATTGGTGTTGACATTCGGCCTATGTATGTTGTACAAGTATATATTCTTTTTCTTTAATGAGAATTGGGATTGATGTGGAAACACGTTTTAATATAACATCAAATTTGTAACAGACTTTTCCTGATTATCTCACTTCAGCCTCAAATCCATATCTTCTCCTTTTCTTCCTGTTAGTCTTCATTCTCCGTACAACCATAGTCACCACCTTCTCTTCTCACCGATGTCTTGAACTTTTTGAGATCCACCGCATCATGTTTAGCGTCGTTGAACATCTCTTGACCATCCCGACAGAACCCCACAAAGCAATGAAAAAATTGACTCTCTTCTCAAGTTTTAGATTTATGCTGAAAGACGGGAAAAGTCTTCATATTGGGACCGTGAACGTTTTGATATTGAAAAATCCCAAAAAATTTGATTTTCTCTTTCTCAATATACCAACTTGCACTTTAGTCGATCGATGTTGACTTTGGTACCTTTTGACGAAGGACGTTCTAATTGATATCCCAATTTGGTTTCCCTCTTGACTCTTTTATTATGAGGTTGTTATATAATAGTTATTAATTTTTTGGCTTTTAAACCAACTATGTGGGCAATGAGTATTTAACCTTCGATTTGCCTAGCTATAAGTTCGAAATTTCAATGGTTTTTGAAACGATTTATAATATCCAAATAAAAACTCTTTTGAGATTGTTTTTTTTAGATTCTACTTACGGTATGGTTGAATAAAGGTTTTTTTTCTCTTTTTTTTCTCTCTTTTTTTTCTTTTATTTTTAACTTTGTGACTTCTCTAATTGATAAAGTTGCTAGAAATTTTCGTGTTTGTCAATAAAATTATAAAAATGTTAGAATTAATATTGTCATTTTAGCAAATAACCTTATATTTTAATACAAGTATACCTTTTAACCGATTGATGTGGATTCAACTAAGATGATTGACCATTTCATTCGTTGATGTTGTTGTGTTGTGAATCTTTCTTTCGTTCTTAACTTTTGATGTTTATGTGCTGTGAATTGATTTTTTGTTATCTGTTGTATAGCTTGCCAAGGAAGATGCTTATAGGATGACACAAGAGCCCTTCATCATCTATAATTACCGGTTTGGAAAACTGTGTGTTTAGAAACTTTTGCTCTTAAATGGCCTTTCCTTTTTAATTCATAAAGACACAATACATGTGCTTGATTATGCCATGATTAATTCAATTTGGTTACCATCATATGTTAAACATATGTAAATGGTGTTTAATTTAAGTAATTGAATATATTGGTGATTAAATATAGTTACATTTATATATTGTAGTTTGAAAAATTATTGATTTATACATTTATTATGTTAATAATTTGTTATTTATCATCATTCCCAATTATACAGGTAAAATCATCATTTACTTATATCCAGACAGTTGAATAAGTTGATAAAGTAGACATTCTTAATGTATATGACACTTTATCCACACTCATTTGTGAGAGTTCAAACCCTAAAAATGGCATATGCATTTTGGATTGTGTCCTTTTTTTGTATTTTCTTTTATTATAAATCATCTTTTTCTTTTATTAAACAATATTTATAAATGTGTTGGGTCTTTCATAAGGTACAAATATAGGTGCTTTATTTTTCTTATCTTGTTGTAGGCATGGACGACCAATAGACCGGCCCTGCTGGCTATAAGATTTAACATCCTTGTGTTAATCTTTCATCATTGATATAATGTAGATCCCATATTAATCTATCGTGATATTTACTAATCACCACTAATCATACACTAATCATACACATAGCATATGAACGTGTAGGTAATAACATGTGTCGAAATTTCACGGCTTGGGGGACCACTCACGTGCACCCATGCATTGCTTGAGTTTGAGGGTGAGTGTCCACTTGCAGCACGTTTTGGCTTAGGCTTGTGTCTAATGCAGCCACATGTCTTGTGAAGTTAGACTATGATTAAATGATGCTATCTACCCATTTTGTGGCGCCGCCCACATGGCCTTTCTCCTACACTTAGAAAAATTTAGTCGTTCTCCATCTTTCTTTCTTATTTTTCTTCTCGTCTTGTAACAACCATAGATTCTTCATATGATATCAGATTTCGATGCATCTTATATCCATGGAAAGTTAGTAAAGTGTGTTGCAACTTCTCATCAAACATCTTTGGTTGAACATGTACAAATATGGAGTTATTAACTGTAAATTTTATGTTTTAACTTGACTTTTCTAAATGATCATAACTACTACATAATGATTCCAATTTTCTTGAATCATTTTTCTATGTTTTTGTTGACATAATGTTTATAACATTCGTTTTATAAATTTTTCTGAATCATTCTAGATCTGTAGCTATTAACCTCCAAAGTTAGTACCTTGGATTTTTGAAATAACCCATAACTTATGAATGAATTGTCTTTTAACTTTGCAAGCTCATAATTTGCTCATTTTTTACCAATTAAGTTGATTCATTTTTCATTGTTTAGTATTATACGTCCTCTTTCCATTTCAACCTTGTTTGTTCCTTAACACCTTCGTTTGGTTAGCCTCCCATTGCTCCAAATTCACTACTTTCATTATTTCAAGTAAATTTTAATTTTTCACAATTCTTCTCATTTTACCCTCATTTCCATGAAACTCATTTCTAATAAATTATATGACTTATAATAACATATATAAAGGTAATAACAATCATACTTTCTTATTTTTGTCGCTTTTGACCAAATTACACTTTTTGTACTATTACACGTATATAAGACTAGAATTTTCATTCCGTTTCATATCAACCATTTATGACACCACTAGAACATTACCTAGTTTTTGGTGCGATAGGGTTTTTTTTGGTGCGGTGGTAGCCTAAAAGATTTTGATGCGATAGGGTTTTTTTGGGTGCCGTTGTAGCTAAAACAGTACTAGTAAAAGAATTTCGCATCAATACACCAACCAACTACACCATTTAAAGCATTTATCAGTGTGGTTCCTATAACCGTAATAAAAAGCATTAAAAGCGTATTTATTGGTGCATTAGTTCGATACCGCACCATTATATCATAGAAAACCAACCAAAAAATCATGGAATCATCCCTCTAAAAGTTTCATTCAAAAATTTCATCTTGCGCTAGTTCTCTCCATATATATAGATACCTTTCCCAAATCTTCCCTCTTCATTGTAACATCCCAAAATTCATGACCAAAAATTTCATTTTAAATTAAGTAATGTATAAAATAGTAGTCTGAAAACATTAATAGTATCATCTCATATCATAACCAAAACCAATATCTCAATAACCAAAACATGTCATAAGAAAACATCATTAAAGTACAAATCCCAAAGATCTCATGTGCGGAAAATCATAGTGTGATGCGTTGCGATCATGTCGGCCCCTTTCCTTTCGAATAAAAAGTACCTGAAACCAAAACAGAAAACCGTAAGCATGAAGCTTAGTGAGTTCCCTCATCATACCACATACCATACGATACACATACTGCCTAGGATATCCGGGTGCTGGCCTACCCCCTTCGGTCTCTTTCAACCGGTAAACGCCTAGCATATCAGGGTGCGGGCGTACCCATTCGGTCTCTTTCAACCGATAAATGCCTAGCATATATGGGTGTTGGCCTACCCTTTCGGTCTCTTTCAACCGGTTACGAGGTCTATTTCGCTCCCCTACCACTACCACATAATAGCATACATAATCATATTGTCAGGCATATATGGGTGCCTGACCTACCCCTTCGGTCTTATCGACCAGATACAAGATCTATTTCACCCCCTGCCACTATCACATAATATCATAGCATACTAACACATAAATCATAACAGATAGTGGCATGCCAGATAATTATCATAAAGACAATCATCTAACTATAAACTCCTACTAGTGGGTCGGCCTTGGAGCCTTAGACCCACTGCTACCGGGAAGGTAACTCACCTCAAATGCTGTAAAGTAGCTGAACAATCCTCGGCTCTGAAATCAACCCAACTCAAACCCCTCAGATGAACCAGAAATGAAGCCCAACTTCTGGATCTACAGGCTCTCTTCAAGTCCTTGCTCCTTCTTTAAACTCCTTGCTCAAGAACCAGGCGTTACAACTCTCCCCCACTTGTTTCAGACTTCGTTCTCAAAGTCTTCCGTCCCAAATAACTCTGGATAGTGCTCCCTCATCTCCTCCTCTGGCTCCTATGTCCACTCTGAACCCTTATGGTGCAGCCATTTCACCTTCACTAACTGCACAAACTTGTTTCTCAAGATTCTCATCTTGCGATCCAGAATCGCCACTTGTCTCTCCATATAGTTCAGGCAGTCGTCCACCTGGATATCCTCCAAAGGCACAACTGTGGAATCATCCACTAAGCACTTCCGCAGCCGGGAAACATAAAAAGTATTGTGGATCTGACTAAGCTCGGCTGGCAAATCCAGTCGATACGCAACCCGTCCCACCCGGGCCAAAACCCTAAACGGACCGATGTACCTGGGGCCTAGCTTGCCCTGCTTCCTGAACCGGATGACACCTTTCCAAGGAGACACCTTCAGGAGAACCATATCTCCCACCTGGAACTCTAAGTCCGACAGACGTTTGTCGGCATAGCTCTTCTACAGACTCTGAGCTGTCCGGAGCCTGCTCCGGACCTGCTGTATCATCTCGGTAGTCTTGAGTACTACCTCGGTACTCCCCATGACCCTCTGACCGACCTCGCCCCAACATATTGGGGTCCTACATTTCCTCCCATAGAGCATCTCGAAGGGAGGCCGGTCAATACTGGCGTGGTAGCTATTATTATTAGAAAACTCTGCCAATGGAAGGTAGGTATCCCAGCTAGCACCGAAGTCTAAAACGCACTTGCGCAGCATATCCTCCAAGGTCTAGATGGTCCGCTCGCTCTTACCATCCATCTGCGGGTGGAAAGTCGTGTTGAAGTGTAGACGAGTACCCAACTCGTCATGAAATTTGTTCCAGAATCTGGAAGTGAATCGCATATTCCTGTCGGAAATCACAGAAACCGACACCCCATGCCGAGCTACTACCTCCCTGATGTAGATGTCAGCTAGCTTCTCGGCCGAAATACTCTCCTGAATCAGTATGAAATGGGCGCTCTTGGTCAATCGATCCATGATGACCCATATCGTGTCAACTCTGCGCGTTGTCCATGGTAACTTCGTAATGAAGTCCATAGTGATCTCCTCCCACTTCCACACAGGAATATCCAACGGCTCCATTTTTCTGTGTGGTATCTGGTGCTCTGCTTTGACTTTCCTGCAAGTCAAGCATCACTCAACGTACCAGGCT